CGGCGAATGAATATGGGTAAATGTAAAAATATCCAAGTCGCTGAGAGGGTGGAGCGCGAGCCCTGCTTCGAAAAAGTTTATGTTGGCCTGCAGTGGACATTGGGGTGGATGGTATTTAGAAATGTTCCTCCCATTATCTCCTGCTATAAACGGCTGAACAGCTTGTTGAACAATAATTGTTCGAGGTTGGTTTTGGTCAACTTGATTGATATTATGGGTCCCGGAATTGATCGTCTTTTGTTCTTTTGGCGCTCCTTGTTCCAGTTATTGTGTGCTCCCCTTGTTTATTTCCTTTCTATCTCTGGCGTTGACCAACAACCCGCTCACCGATAGCATGGGGCGGACGATCCTTCCAACCGTCGGCGCCTGTGCCGTCTTCACAATCGACTGTGTTACGCGGAAGTTCAGCAAGATCCTACTGCCGTCGCTGCTTGCAAGGCTCTTATGAACAAGACATATGCTGTTCTGGTCTCAGACGTAAGTCGGACGATCTTGGGGACATGTTTGGAGCTGAATGCCCTACGTAGCGACGGGCTTTCTACGCGCCGGATGAACCCTATAACCCATGCACTGTGCACTTCATTTCTCAAGGAGACCCCCCCCCCCCCCCCCCCCCCCCGCGCCTTTACAGACCGATGTATAGAACTGTCGATGTCGTTGCCGATCTTCCCAATGACCACGCAGTCGCATCCATGATTGCGGGATCCCTTGAAAGGGTCACAGCCTCTGCCCTGGAATGATTGCTACGTTACATGCTTCTTGTACGCCTTCGTCAGGAGCCCGACAAAATTCACTGAAGAGCCGATAGACTGTATGTTCGAGCCCGCCGAAATGAATAAGCACGGTCGCCTCTTGAGTGAGGACGTGGAGAGGAAATTGGACCTGTTGGAGGCGAATGAGTTGGAGTTGGCTGAAAACAATCACTCTGGTGTGCTTGTTCTTGTCCGAGTTGACCTTTGGCTGACCTCATTATGCCTTGCTAGTTACCGGACCCAAGGCGTCTAATCTCCCGGCCGAACTGCCGAATTCGAACAACCCCAGGAGGGGTTCATTCGATGAAATATTTATCAATGAGCCGCCAGTTTCTCAGGGCGTCATTACCTTCACGCACGACCTGTCAACATTGCGAGACCTTACCGATCCCACGGATTACTTCAAAGAAGTGGAAGCTATCGCTAGGTTGGAGTCCTTTCAGCCAGATTTATCCAGCCGTCTCACCTGCTATGTATTCCATAGGATTGACCAAGACGCCTTGTCACGGCTCGCCAAATCTAAAGCCCGCGCGAGGGATGAAGCCACGAAGAAGGCGGCGCAGATGGATGCTCAGATTTACGACGATCGCACAGGTGAGTTTCACTTTCTGAATTATTCCCTCTAGATCTCATGCACTTGCCAGACGAATTATTGGTTGAGCATGTAACATTTAGAAGCCGTGTTTCTCGCGTTGCCTCCAAGATCAAGATGAGAGGCAGAAATATTACGCGGCGCATGCTTTACTTGACCCACATCGGCCAAACGAAGTCGGCCTCTGGCCTCTGGCATTTGAAGTCATGTGCAATAATTATGTCTGACTGTACTTTATTCCTTGGCATCGTATTGAGCTACTTTAAAATCCTTCCCCCCCAATTGACCACAAAACTACTCCACAAATTAATGATTCGGCTGTTTGTTCTAATATTGTTGTTTGATCCCAACGGCAGTCCTTTGCTCGGTGGTTCGGGCATCATTCATGTGCTAACAGTCAACTGCTGAAAAATCCAAAAAGTCGAAATCTACTCGAGTTCAATTTTAGTGAGGTGCGTGCCAACATCTGCCCGAGAGCCCGAATTGAAGCTTGACCATTGTTAAAAACCGAACCGTGGGAATCTACCATCAACTTTCTGATGCCGCCAAACCTCAGCAGCACTATGCCCCTCATTCAAAGCTCAAGGGAGAACGACAACAATTGTTGTGTAACATTGACCAAGAGGAGTGTGCAGAAAGAACGTGAGCCGGGAAGTATACCAAAAGCCATATACTTCGAGATATTTGAGAGGTTTGGTATACTTTCGGCTACTTCCGGTATACACCGGGTATACATCCAGTCTGCTTACCTGAACACTACATTCTGTACACTCTGTATACTTGCAAGGTTGCGAACTTAACCGGCCGACACACGCTGTGCCGTATCGCCATCAAGCGGCTGTGGTTATCGTACCATTCTCCATCCTGACACGTCTTTGACCGCCGCAGCCACCATGGACAACTTCAACAAGATAGATGCCACTCTCAGCGCTGTTCCCGGGCTTTGTAACTCTATTAGGATGGAAAAAGGAATAGCCTTTGTTCGACTCGCCGGCCGACTGAAAGACGCAATTACCGTTGCTCAACCACCCACTCACGATGCCGCAGACGCCCCCGAGCACCTTCCGGACGGTATTCGAACATTTCTCGGCAGCGCAATAGATGGTCTCGGACGACAGAGCCACAACAGCGCAGGGTGGCGGGAATTTGATGCTGGCCGTTAGAACAGAGGCCATAAGGCATAGCAGGGAGCGGCTTTCACGCTGGGCGGGGAGCGGACGACGCGTCTACGAGACAGCGTGGTGGTGGTAAGCAGAAGAGACCGAGTCGTCACAAACGCGTGACGCAGTGAGTCTCTGCCGAAATCGGGCCGGTGCTATCTCTGCCGAAATTGGCCGAAATTGGCCGAGATATACCAGAGTGTATGATGTGTACGTGGGTGTACAGGGTTTACAATGTCTCAAAAATTCCCGGTGGTATACGAAAGTGTATGAAAGTATATCCGGAGGAGGAGGAGGAGGAGGGTGTATTACTGCAGAGGTCCCTATAAGGAACAAGCAGGTGTTGTACCGACATACATCCGTCCTTAATGTATGCTACAACCATCAAGGGCCCTATCGCTGAGGGAGCATAGGCACCGATAGCACCTACACATCGCACAATAGGACGGAACAAGAAGGGGCAGAAGTATCATGGATTCCGCCAGAAAACTTCGGGCAGAGCCAACACGCTGTTAGTGTACTTCACAACTTCAACGTTCCTTGGCATAACCTCGCGAGGTAGAGGATGCCGGTGTACCAGAATATACAATATATACCGTATACTTCTGTACACTTTCCTATTCACATTTGTTCTCCGAGTGTGGAGACCATTGACCAAGAGGAGTGAGACCATTTTATTAACAGAGAGAGATTTCGAACCGTGGGAACAATCTGCCATCACAAGAGATCTCGCACGATCAGTTTTTACGCGAGGTATGCTGTGGGACGTTTAGAACGGGAAACCGGTTCAATCTCGTTCAGATATTGATTGGTAAGGCTCCAACCCTATCGGATCGACCTTGGTTGACATCCGCAGTTTTCCTGTTTCGGTGTATACTTCCCTAAGTTACCTTCACCCATCTCAGCCGCGTTGCCCGATACGGTCACAATATTTGAGAATTTGACATGAAAATATATCATCATTTAATGCCTTGTATTTGTGGCTTCTCACTCTGACCACGCTTGAATTGAATCCCATGTAGTGTATGATAGTCTTTTCGACATTCTCTGATGCGTCATCTTCCAGGTTCTCCCTCCTCTTTGCGCCCTCACCACGTCCCCGGCGCAATCAATGCCGAGGATCACTCAAGCGGGAATACGAAAAACACCACACCCGCGCGCGGAGACGACATTTCGAACCGTGGGAATCTACTGATACCGTTATACAGATTAATTAACCTCGTCCGGTACTACGAGTCGTCGGGTATCTTGCAATGGCAGGGCCTCCTAGAGACCTCGAGGTGATCTTCGGTTCTCCGTTACCATTTGTAATTCCGACCCGACCGCGCTCAATTTTTCGGCGGAGATTATTACTCCCGATCCCAGTCTGTAACTCTGCTGCGGGTTCCCGTCGGCGTGCGGGCGTAGAAAACAAACGGAAGGACGCGGTGCGCTGCTGCGGAGTAGAATGCGCCCTGCGCTACGGAGCTCCACAGACTAATCCTTTTCGAATCGCGAGATGAGTACAACACAATATCCACGATGTTCCGTATATCCACCGCCAACGGTACCGATCTCAGCGCCCTATGTATCTCAACTCAGCCGCACATATTGAAATTCGCTCCACTGCAGCCCGGCTACATGCCCAATGCCGGACGCCACAGGGCCGCCGTCCGTGGGTCAGTGTGGGTGCGTCATCCATTGCCCTCTTAGGCTATTCAATCCAACGGCGCCAAGGCAGTGGAATTTATTGTACCACATGTTTTTTGTTCTCTGAATGTATGGTAAGGGCTATGATTGGTCAGGTTTGAGAACGAGGCAGAAATTCTAGAAAACGGCCAAGGTAATGATATTTTGTTGCGATCAAAAGACAGATGTGCGTCACCGTTGTGGGCGGCGGGCGCTTGTGTAACCGCCGGCAGAAAGTCAAAGACATCGCCGAGAGAAGGACAGACGGCATGGAAGAGGAAGAGAGAGGAAGACACCGAGGGAAGACGCGGAAGGAAGAAAGGAAGAAAGGAAGAAAGGAAGCAAGAAAATGAAGATCAAGAAGAGGACCTACATGCGCCTACACTCCGACGATGTTCATCATTACAACGAGAAGAAGTGGATCGGCCTGGAATGTATCACAATAACTAGCATCACACGCTGCCGAGGTAAATTTTACAGAGGTTGAAGCGGCTGAAGTCCAAGTTCGAACATGCCCGAGCTGCCCGAGCAGCAAAGAAATTCATTATGTTGGCTTCAGCGATTCTTGGTTTAGCCTTGACGTGCAAGTCTGGGAGGGCAGTGAGGTCAGAGTAGATTTATCTGAACAACCCAACTATCCTGAGATGTAAAGCCGATTCAGGCATGCACAGGGGAGTCGGACTGCCAGGGGGGCAATCCGTGCTTGGCGTCCGAGGAGTCCTTTGCTACAGCGATAAAATTACTAAAATCGAGGAGCCGCTGCCGACTTGCTGCCTCTGGTCGACTTCAAAATTCATGTGCGAAAAAGAAAGTATATGCTCAAGGATATGACCCGACCCCGAATCGAACGGAGGTCTTCTGCCTAATCTTTACCAACGGTGCATTTTGAGCAGATGCACTACCGGTTGTGCTATTAGGTCATTGATTGCCCACCTTATTACAAGGTAATATATGCCTACTTATTTTCCTTGTGTTTGTGTTGTGTTGAAGGGTTGAAAGTCAGAGCAGGCCCGAGATGCCCGGTATTTCCCTTGTGCGTTGAATTCTTCTCTTTGAACGGTCCGTGCGCTGATTTATTCAGATCGGTTGCACGGAAATGAAGTCGTTGTGTATCGAGGAGCCACGGCAAGTGAAATGGGAGAAAAAGAAAAAGAAAAAGAAACAAAAAAAAATCTACTTCACTGTGCATGATCTGACCTCGGTTCGAATGAGGGTCTTCTGCTTAACTTCTTCCGTCGTACAAATTCAGCAGATGCACTACCTGTTGTGCCATCAGGTCGTGATTTTTGGAATCCTGGAAGTGATACATACCTACTCATATTTTTGAACTTGACTTGTAAGTTGTGTTGTGTTGAAAGGTAGACGGGCCCGAGGTGCCTGGACCACTCCCTTCCTTTCCTTCTTGCAACACCCCTGCACTCGCAGTCAACCTCTGTTCAGCTAAGAATGAGATACCGAGGCTACGGTAAGGGCGGAACAAAAATGTGTGGGAAAAAAAAAAAATCTTCGAAAGTTGTATGACCTGACCCCGAATTAAACAGGGGTCTTCTGCTTAAAATCCTCCACCATTGTTTATTTTCAGCAGATGCACTAACCAACTGTGCTATCAGGTCATGATTGCTCCTAGTACTGCAGGCAATATGTACTTATAGAATTAATGTCAGTTTGTGGTTGTGTTGAAATGGGAAGAGGTCCAGCATGCCGCATTCCTTCTCTGATCTTCAACACTACTCCACTCACATTCAACCTTTATTCGATTAAATGAGATACCGACGTTAGGGGTAAGAGCGAAGCAAAGCACAAATGTGTGAAAAGAAAAAAGAGGGCATTCAAAGACGGTATGACCTACCCCAGATCAAACGAGGGTCTTCTGCTTAAACTGTCAACATTCACGGTTATTTTCAGCAGACACACTAACCAACTGTGCCGTCAGGTCATGACTACTCTTGGTACAGATAATATATGCTTGTTTGAGTTCAATCGTTATGTTGTGTTGAACAGTTGAAAGTCGGGACAAGTCCGAGATTATGGCGGTCAGAGTGCCCCTTTAATAAAAGGGGTACAAACACTCCACTTTGGTGCAGATTTTTGGCCTACTAGTAGAAATTTTTACAAAGAGGGATGTTTTATTTCATGCAAGAAAAAAAGTTGTGGATTTCACACTTTTTCTTGCAGAGAGGTGTGTAAACTGTTACTCAAAAATACACATCTTTGCCAGTGCCGTAAGTGGCTGTGCTAGGCGGATCAAAGCCTCCACTGATGTGCAAGTCCTCCCATTATGAACAGGTATTGTCTACAAGCCGGCATCGAGCCGCTCACCAGGAGTTCAATACCAGGAGATGCTGTGTCAGCCCCTGCTGCACCTGCCATCTTCAGCAGACTTGAACGGCTCACTTGAATATCTTCAACTACCTCCTATCGGACCTGCCGCCATCGGAACAGCACATACCATCAAGCCTAGGCCAAGCCGAGCTCGCTTTTATCCAATGGAGATTTTTTTTTGTGGTGCCCGAAAATAACACTCTGAGTTTTTTTTTAAAAGTACACAGTAGACTCAATATTTTGAGTGGTATTTTAGTGGTTGAAAATTTTGCACTGTCAAGTCTCAAAAATTTGTGTAAAAACAGCCAGTTTACCCTGGTTTTAAAGGGGCACTCTGACCGCCATACGAGATGCCCGAATCCCCTTGGAACAAATGTGTTGTGAGAGTCAAGGACTTACTTCTTCAGGCCTTTAAGGTGAGAGATTGTCCAAAACAACCATGTGATCGAGAAGCGTTTTGTAGGAGGGGAAGGGAAAGAAACAAAAAGCACCCGGTTCGTTGGTCATGACCTGACCCCGAATCGAACGGGGGCCTTCTGCTTAAATTTGCGAGCAACCATATATCTACCTGGAACTCAACTTGTGTTTGTGTTGTGTTGAAAGTCGGGACAGGTCCGAGATGTGAACCATTGGGCTAGTACGGTGATTTATTCATTCCTTCACAAGAGGAGGAGGACGGAACCGTTGGATCGAGGAGCAAGAGCAAAACGAAACAAAAATGTGTGAGAAAAAAAGAAATCTTCAAGGACAGGATCATGACCTGACCCCGAATCGAACAGGGATCTTCTACTGGCAACTCGAAGAGTAATCATTTATCGCAGGCACACTACCAATTGTGCTATCAAGCCTTGATTGCTCATGGTATTGCAGACAATACATATCCACCTCCAATTAAACTTTGAGGGAGATGGTGAAATTGGGAGCCCGAGATGCCCAATTCTCCTTACAATAAATGTTGTGGAAACCAAGTACTTACTTCTTCAGGCCTTTAAGGTGAGAGATTGTCAAAAACAACCATGTGACGAGAAGCATTTTGTAGGAGGGGAAAGAAACAAAAACCAATTTACTTATCGGAGATGACCTGACCCTGAATCGAATGGGGGTCTTCTGCTTAAACCTGCGAAGGCAATGGACACACTTCGAGCAGACACACTAACCAACTGTGCTATCAGGCCACAATTGCTCTTGATATTGAAGGTAATATGTTCCTTGTTTGAGTTTGAGTTCAACTTGTTGTGTTGAACAGTTGAAAGTCGGGGCAAGCCCGAGATGCCCGAACCGGCTGGATTATTTCTCTCCTTGAACGGTCAGTGTGGTGATTTATTCAGATGGGTTGCACGAAGATGAAGTCGTTGCATCGAGGAGCTGCGGCAAGCGAAATGGAAAAGAACAAAAAAGCCTAATGGGTGGACTATGACCTGACCCCGAATCGAACGAAGGTCTTCTGCTTAAGCCCACAGCAATTTCTTTACTTTCAGTAGATGCACTACCAGCTGTGCTATCAGGTCATTGTTCCTCCCAGTACTGAAGATTATATGTACCGTAAAAAAATCTTGACATCAACTTGTCGTTGTGTTGAAATTGTGGGAAAAAGCCCCAAGAGCCCGTCTTCAACACCACTCACAGTCAACTAAGAATGAGATACCGACGCTACGAGCAAAGGCAAAGCAAAAATGTGAAAAAGAAAGGTAAAAAGAAAGGTAAAAAGAAAGGTAAAAAGAAAGGTAAAAAGAAAGGTAAAAAGAAAGGTAAAAAGAGATTTCGAAGACAGTATGACCCAACCCCGAATCGAACGAGGGTCTTCTGCTTAAGATTCTTCACCACCGGCTATTTTCAGCAGATGCACTAACCAACTGTGCTATCAGGTCATGATTACTCTTGGTACCAGAGATAATACGTGCCTTGTTTAAGTTCAACTTGTGGTGGTGAAAAGTGGACGGGCCTGAGATGCCCGAACGGTCTAAATATTCCTGTGAATGTGTTCAGGCCGAGTTGCAGATACAAGGAAGAGGAAGTGGATGGGATCGTTGGATCGAGAAGCAAGGAAGTGAAATGGAAGAAAGCAGAAAAAGAAACAAAAAATATCCTCTTTATCACCCATGACCCAACCCCGAATCGAACCGGATCTTCTGCTTAATATTGTTCATTTTCAGCAGATACACTAACCAACTGTGCTATCAGGTCTTGACTGCTCTTGGTACCAGAGGTAATATGTGCCTTGTTTGAGCTCAACTTGCAGTTGTGGTGAAAAGTAGCTGGGGCCCGAGATGCCCGGTATCTCCCTTGTAAGTTGTGCGTCGATTTGAGTTGCACGAAGACAAAGACGAAACTGTCGTATCGAGGAGCAAGTGAAATGGGAGAAAAAGAAACAGAAAACTACTGGTTCATGTCCATGACCTGACCCCGAGTCGAACGGAGGTCTTCTACTTAACCTTCGTGGACAATTGAAGATTCTGAGCAGACGCACTAATCAGTTGTGCTATCAGGTCTTGATTGCTCATGGTACTGGAGGTAATATGTAACTTGTTTGAGTCAACTTGGGGTCATGTAAAATTCAAACAAGCCCGAGATGCCCGAACCATTCCGAGTATTTCCCTCTTCCTCATATTGTATCCAGTCAATTAATTGTTACACTGCGTTGCACGAAATCCTTGTATCGAGGAGTAGGAGAAATGGAAACCAGAATAATAATAAAAATGATGTGAAAGACCACATGATCCGACCCCGAATCGAACGAGGATCTTCCACTTAAACAACAACGAAAGCGAATTTTGAGCAGATGCACTACCAACTGTGCTATCAGGTCTTGATTGCTTTTCATATTGAAGGTAATATATACCCACCTTCAATTTGACTGAGGGAGATGGTAAAAGATTGGGAGCCCGAGATGCCCTTATCTTGTGAGAGTCAAGTGCTTCTTCGGAGTCAAAGATTGGGATGAATAACCGTGCGATCGAGAAGCATTTTGTGGGAGGGGAAAGAAACAAAAAACCATTAAGCAGAACCATGACCTGACCCCGAATCAAACAAGGGTCTTCTGCTTAAACCGGCGAGGGCAATAGATACATTTTGGGCAGATGCCCTAACCGACTGTGCTATCAGGTCGTGATAGCTCATGATGCTAGAGATAATATGTGCCTTATTTGAGTCTAACTTGTGGTTGTGTTGAAAAGTTGGAAATAAAACAGGCCCGAAATGTCGAACCATTTGAGTTATTCTCCTTGGACGGTTCGTGCAGTGATTTATTCAGACCGAGTCGCAAATACGAAGGTGAATGAGATACCGACAACAGGCAAAGGTGAAATAAAAATGTGCCGAAAGCCAAAAACTTCAATTTTCACAATTCCGTATGACCTGACCCCGAATTGAACAGGGGTCTTCTGCTTAGGCAATGACGAAGGCAAATTTTGAGCAGATGCACTACCGGTTGCGCTATCAGGTCTTTGATTGCTTCTGGTACCAGAGGTAATTAATATGTGCCTTGTTGAGCTCAACTTGCGGTTGTGGGTGAAAAGTAGCTGGGGCCCGAGATGCCCGGTATCTCTCTTGTAAGTTGTGCGTTGATTTGAGTTGCACGAAGACAAGAGGAAGACGAAACTGTTGTATCGAGGAGCAAGTGAAATGGGAGAAAAAGAAACAAAAAGCTACTGGTTTATATCCATGACCTGACCCCGAGTCGAACAGGGGTCTTCCTGCTTAACCTTCGTGGACAATTGGGGATTTTGAGGAGACGCACTAACCAAGTATGCTATCAGGTCACAATTGCTCTTAACATTGAAGGTAATATGTGCCTTGTTTGAGTTTGAGTTCAACTTGTTGTGTTGAACAGTTGAAAGTCGAGGCAAGCCTGAGATTCCCGAACCGGCTGAATTATTTCTCTCCTTGAACGGTCAGTGCACTTATTTATTCAGATCGGTTGCACGAAGATGAACTCGTTGTATCGAGGAGCCACGGCAAGTGAAATGGGAGAAAAGAAAAAGAAACCAAAGGCACAATCAGACACATCCATGACCTGACCCCGAATCGAACGAGGGTCTTCCACCTAAACAACAACGAAATCGAATTTTGAGCAGATGCACTAACCAGCTGTGCTATCAGGTCTTGATTGCTCCTGGTATCAGGGATGATATGTACCTTGTTTAAGCCCTATGTTGTGTTCAGCAGTTGAAATGGGAAGAGGTCCGAGATGCCCGAATCATTTTCTCCCTCTTGCCCATCCATTCATTCAGTTAGACTGAGCTGGAAATACAAAGACTCGGACGAAGACGAAATCGTTGGATTGAGGAGTAAGCAAAATCGAACAAAAGCAGAAACACAGAAAGGAACTGGTCAATAGATGACCTGACCCCGGATTGAACGAGGGTCTTCTACTTAGACTTATAAAACCATGGCGAAGTTTGAGCAGATGCACTACCAACTGTACTATCAGGTCCCTGCTGCTCTTAATATTAAAGGCAATATGTACTGCACCAAATCAGAGTCAACTTGTGTTGAAATTGTTGGAACAAGTCCGAGATGCCCGAACCACTGTCCCTTCGTTTCCTCCTTCGAAATTCTTCAACACCCCTGCACTCACGGTCAACCTTTATTCGATTGAATGAGTTACCGACGCTTCTGGCAAAGGCAAAGCAAAGATGTGCGACAAAAAGAAAAGAGTTGACAACGATATCATGACCTGACCCTGGATCGAACGAGGGTCTTCTGCTGAAGCAACGACGAAAGTGAATTTTGAGCAGATGCACTACCGACTGTGCTATCAGGTCTTGATTGCTCTTGATAGTGAAGGTAATATGTGCCTTGTTTGAGTTTGAGTTCAACTTGTTGTGTTGAAAAGTTGAACTTGATAAGCCCGAGATGCCCGAACCGTTGTGTATTTCCTTGAACGCTCAATGCGGTGATTTATTTAAACCGAGTTGTAGATACGAAGAGGAAAAGGAACATGAAACCGTGGAGGAGCAAAAGTCGGACAACCAGGAAGCCAAAAACCAAAATGCAGGAGATGTGGGATATGACCCGACCTCAGTTCGAACGAGGGTCTTCTGCTGAGATTCCCAACTTTCAACCGGACATCTGTAGCAGATGCACTACCAGCTGTGCTATCGGGTCGTTAGAATCTTTGTACCAAACGTCGTCTTTACCTCATGGATGGGTGCTACCTCGATGATTTGAACGAACGCAGTCTTCCTACTTCCCTATTCCGTTAACCTTGTCAATGTGCCTGGGTATAAATACATAGATACCCTAAGTCCGCACCGATTCTAAAAAGAAGTTGTCTTCCTTGGGTGTGAAGGGTTCTAGGCACAGGAAGGGAGATAGGCTCGGCACAGGAAAGAACACAGGCTCGTATCGGCACCAGTGCCGGCGCCACGGCGGCAGGTGCGGGTGTGATGGGTTCGGATGGCGTCGGCGTCGGCGTCGGGGTGCCATCGTGTCGAGTTGTCGGGGAGCTGAATAGATTGAACGGCGAAAGGACCCACTGTGTCGATATGTAGAAGTTGACCCGAAGCCACGAAGACTGGGTCCAGCCACAAAGACCGCCGTGAATAGAGATTGATTTCATCTCCAGAAGGTGAATGTTGAGTCACCGGTGGGAGAGGCTTTCCTGAGTCAAGGCACCATCGATATCGCGGCGCACACAATGCTATCTGGCGTGGCAGGCAGTGTTCATGATGAAGTTCGTCGTGTAAGGAGATAGATTCGCAGGCGATAATGGAAGCGGGTCGTTAGGAAGATCAGGCACACACAGTTGGGCGCGGCGTTCCATCTGGAATCAAGTTTTCGGCCGGTCGTTCACTGCGGGAATTGCACTCAAAACCCTCAAGCCTAAGCAAGATTTCTTTAACCCTCAAAGCACTCATCGCCCTCAAGCTTCCTTCAACTTCAAAAAAACCCGGGTTTCAAGCAGTCGCAACATCAAACTCGCAAATTCGCAAGAGGACTACAAGAGGAGCCGAAATCGTGCTATTATTTCATTCTCAGCGTCCAAGATCGTTACATCGATGTCAAGCCAGCTGTCAAGTCTTTGGCGTCACATTGGTCAAGTTTTTCTTTTTCACAGACTTCAGTAAGTATTCCCTGGGTATGTAACTTGTGCCGTTCAAATGACATTATTTGTTGTTCTTTTGAGCCTGAGTACCGGTGGAGCGCATTGTTTCATACTGAGTTGATGTTCGCATAGCCCTCGACAGGCGAGAATAGGCGAGAATATGGCTGAATAGCCGAGAATACGCGAGAATACGCGAGAATATGTAGAAACTGCCTTGTCACATAGAGGCCGACTTAATACAGCGCTACACGGTCTACCCGACCTATATAGCGCTATATAGAATGTCCGGGGTTTCCAGATGTTCGGAGACAGATTGGCATCGCTCGCTTACATGAGCATTCTGCGCTTATAAAAAGAGTTTTGAGGCGGTGTCGGCGTCTTCCTTCGGCGGCTTTGGTGCCTGGCGTAACTCAACCACTTCTATTCAACTACTTTGCTGGATGCACGCCTCGGACGACCCCTTGGACGCGGTGCTAAGGCCCCCGGCGGACGAGACGGTGGAGCAGGCTGCAGTGAGGGAGGCACGGGAAGCGGAGGCGCGGAGGGTGAGCGCGGCCATCGACGCGGACATCAAGGCGGAAAGACAGGCCCGCAGGAAGAAGCGCATCGTACGGCTCTTGCTCCTAGGCCAGAGCGAGAGCGGCAAGAGCACCACTTTGCGACGTGCGTCCCTCCATTTGCATTCTAATCATACTGCTAATTATTGGCACAGAATTCCAGCGCCTCTACACGCCGACCGCATTCCGCGAAGAGCGTATTCTATGGCGCGCAGTCATCCAGCTCAACGTCGTGCGCTCCATACGCACCATCCTCGAAACCCTCGAGCCCTCCTCCTCCAATAACCCAAGCTCCAGAGCCCCCTCGCGCCCGCGCACCCGCCGCCCCAGCGCCGCGTCCGCCTCCATGCTCGCCCTGGCTAGTCCCACGTCGCCCTCTGCGTGCGCGAGTAACAACAACTACAACGCACACGCCGGGCCCTCCTCGCCTACCTCTCCGCACTACAACCACAACCCCGGACCATCCTCCAGCAACAACAACAACGGCGCGAATGCGAATGCGGACCCGTACGACGCGGGGTACGACTCCCCCGGGTACGCCTCCCCCGGCGTCGACTCGGACGTCGAGTCCGATCCGGGTGGGGACTCCCTCCCTGTCTTCCGCAACGGCGATTACGGTGGTGGTGCAAGTGGCGGGGGTGGCGCACTAGCGTACCACCACCAGATGCAGCAGCAAATGTCGCAGCAGGCGCGTGCGCCGCCGATACCCACCGCGAGCCCGCCTCCGGGGTTAATCGGCCTGCAACCGGGCAACACGATTAGCTGGGAGGCGCTCAAGCTCGCGCTGCTGCCCCTGCGGCACGTCGAGGCGCTACTGATAGCGCGGTTGGTGCCGACGGCGGCGGGGGAGGAGGAGCCGGCGTATTTGCCTGGGTCGACGTTGGCGGCGACGTCGATGGGAGGGGTGGGAGCGGGAGGGGGGGGATATTCGTTAGGCCGGGGGGAAGGTGGATGGGGCGGGCTGCGCGTTTTCTTGAATTCTTGTCCCTTCCTTCCTCAGAATCATCTTCCTTCTTCCAGCCTCCACACTCTGCGGTCTCTCCACCCCTTCCGCCTCCCCCTACCTCTTAGCTTATGTGGACAGTGTGCTCCCTAAAATGCACGACGTGCATGCAATGGTACCTTTGGCACATTTGTCTTTTGGAGACGGCGTAACCGCGTGGCTCAGTGGTGGTGCGTGTGCAACCACACTTCAATTTTCCGATTTTTGACTTAAAAGTCACAGGCGCCTCAAACACCGCCGCTCTCCGGGGCATCCCCTATGATCCCGACTGGCGGAAAGGCTTCAATGTAGGCGCACCACCAAAACCAATGGTGCTGCCAAGCGGAGTGAAGGATGTTGAACATGTTTTCTGAGCCGAAGTTTAGCTAGAGACTCACATTCATTCCAATATATCTTCCGATGTACATCTTATCTCCCTCAGCCCTGAAATTGAAATTGAAAGTTCGCGCAAAGGTAGAGAGAACTGTTAAATGTCGACTTGTTTTGAAAGTCACTAAGCTCAAGGATCGCTCTGCATCGAAGTTCTCACGTCCTCGCCGACAAAGGAGCTTGTTATGTATGAGGGCTAACCGCGAGGTTTAAACGAGATTCGGAGCCTTGTTCCAGCTTGACGTTGCGTTTGCGACGGAATACGCGCGCTGTTTGATACAGTTTCTCTGTCTCCCAGGAACTACACAAAACCACATAATGTCACTGGGGTATTTAAAATAATCGTGTCAAAAATAATCGAAGACTTAGGGATCCAGTGCAGTTGAATTTTAGCAAGGTGCATTTTCAGCTCGAGCCCAAGGTTGAAAACGAACCGTGGGAAATAGCCATCAAGTAACCACGATATGACTCTCGGAAAACCCGGCCTCTTGGCAAGGTGGTTAATTGCTTCAAGTAGCTTGAGATAAGAAACTATGGCTATCTTGTGGAACACAGTAAGGACTGCAGGGACTCCCGCGCCAACAGCGAACATTTTGAACCGTGGGAACAATTCAATGTCGCCACCTCGTCAAGTGTTATTCTTGTAATGATCCAACGAAAGGGCTTGCTGCGTGTATCGTCCAGCTGCCTTCCTTGGAGTGTTCATCGCGATTTTGATGTCCGCATCGATGTGGTTCAGGCTCCGACATCGAACATCCTTTTCCGGAGTTCATTTTTCATGTGCAGAGGGTATCAGACCGAACTTGGCTTTTACCCTTAGGAGGAGGAGGAGGAGGAATAAATTATACTGCGCGGTCCCGCAATTGGAACAGCCAGTTTACTAAGAACAAACATGTAGCTAGAATATGGGTGGCTATCCACATTTAACTCCAAGATGCCCCTAGAGCACAACATACTACCAGCGGGGGGCGGAGAACCAACCAGCACGACAACGACTCCCTGCTCGACACGGACAAACATCAAGCAGGCGTGCGCAGGTAAACCAACCCAGTGGGAAAAAACCCCGTCGCATCACCGAGAATCGTTTCGCGGTCGAAGGAACTGCAGTCCCGCTGGGCATGCATGCAGTTGCTGTAAGATAAATATAATAGGTGAATGCATGATCCCATCCGTTGTTACGCCGCGTTCGCGGCCGGAGCAATCTGGGGTAGTGGTTGACGATAGAATTCTGGGTTGATTATTAGCATGGGTGTCGCGTAATAAATTTCCAGAACATCGTAAGCGAACTTGGCTAGCAGTGACGTGGTTTCACGATATGAAATCAGATTTCTGAAGAATAAACCAGCATCCGTGTATTTGCCCTTCATCTCGGGCAACGTCCGGAACAGCTGAGCAAAGAAGACCCTTCGAATCTCCAGTAGCGGTGCATGCTTGCAACCAAAGAGAGCATGGACTGGGTCTTCTATGCAGACTTTGCAGAAGCGACACAGTCGCCACCTTCCCGGTATAGATTCCGGGCGGTACCGCTCACCCCACGTCATTCTCTCGCTAGCCAATGCATGGCCAGAGAGTAGGACGTATGTCAGGGCTCGACGATGTTTTTCGTTGCTGACACGGAGGTAGTGGCGAAAGAACAAGACCTTCCTGACCCTTTTCTTGTCAACGACCTCGAGGCGGTCCGCAAACAGGTCGCGCGTCTTACTGTAGGACATGATCGAGGCTTGAATGCAATCCTCCATTGAGGTGGTAAGGCTCTTCAGCAGTCCCTCGACCGTAGAATTAAATCACATCACTGTCGCTAATGTTATCGAATTTCAAGTTTGCACTTGTTGGCCACAAGCAAACCGTTCAAACCCGACAGCACCGCCTCAGCACTGCCTGCCTCACTTTCGTCCTCGCCACAACCTTGTTCCAACCTTGTTCAACTGAATGCGCACACAGCAATACAGTACCATAGGGATCCAGATTTTTCTCCGAGGGATCTAACTCTATCTCTCCTTCAATCCGTCGGGTTCGGAATTTTCAAGTTGAAGCAAGAATTCAGTTTTACGGACCTCTGGAGTGGCTGTAGCTAGTATATGTATCTCGTTCTCCGATATAAATTGCACAGAGGTAGAGGGTTTGAACAATGAACATTCCCGAGATGATGGCCTAATGATATCGTACTTTCCAGCAAAGAGCAAGTAAACCTGAATGAAGCGAGCACGCAAGTGAAGCACACAAAAGAGAACCGAAAACCAAAACCATGACCTAACCCCGAGTCGAACGGGAACCTTCTGCTTAAACCTGTCTAGCCTTCGTATTTCTAGCAGACACACTAATCAGTTGTGCTATCAGGTCATTTCTGACCTTTAGTATGGAAAGCAGTATGTACGGCACTGTAACTATATCAAAGTCAATTTTGTTTGCAATTTTGTTTTCAATTTGAGCTCGTGTTGAAAAGTTAACAACTTTGAAACGTCAAGATTAATTACGCCCTCAGGCTTCACAGGTTCTTGTAAATGACTGGATAAACAAGGGTTCAAATTGTCAGCGAGATGGAGGGAGAACAAAAAAAAGAACAGAATTCATTGAATAGTGGCCCGACCTCGAGTCGAACGGAGATCCTCTACTGAATCAGCTAGAGCACTTACTTTGCGTAGATGCACTAACCAGTTGCACTACCAGGCCATGATTGTGCTTGGAAATCGGGTAATGTCAACCTACCTTAGACGAAAGTTCGATTCAATTTCTCGTGTTGAACCATGGCCGATGCCCGAGATGCCCGCTTCAACCCTTGGGACCTCCGTTCCTCGGGTTTCTTGCATAACTAGCAATGGATGGATTAAACGGGAGGCTTTGGATCGTTCGTGGGAAGGGAGGACAAAAAACAATAATGCCATAGCGAAATGACCTGACCCCGAGTCAAACGGGGATCTTCTGCTTGAAGGTATTCAAAGTTGACATAATTTTAGCAGACGCACTACCAACTGTGCTACCAGGTCACGCTTGTTCTTGGAACTCAAGGTAATATCAACCCACCTGAAATTCCTTCCAACCTCAGCCAGTTGAATTGAACATGGGAGATGCCCGACATGCCCGATCACAAGTTGGAATAGACGCGGTGAGAAGCCAATTGTGAGAGCTCAGTACATTAGGATGGGTGAAATGTGTCAATGAAACCTTTAAACGAGAAGCAATGTGTAGAAGAGAGGAAAAAGAAACGGACCAGGAAAAAACCGCATATCAAACTCTCACGACCCGACCCCGAGTCGAACTAAATCGGTCAACCATTCTTGCATTTTGAGCAGACGCACTACCAGCTGTGGAATCAGGTCTGAACAAGAGTCTCGAAGCGGAAACTGACATTGCAGCGCGGACATCAAGGCCGCGCGCAGGACGAACTTGAAGCCCGTCGTACACCTCTTGCTGCTCGCCAGACACCACATCCAGCACCGTATTCTATGGCGCGCAGCCAAACCCTTCCGACACGCGCCATCCTCGAGGCCCTCGACTCCAACTCCCGTTGCTCCTCAGGGTGGGACGGGCCCCGTAAACGGCACCCCGTCCCGTGCCGTCTCGACATCGGCTTCAACAAATAAGCGGGCGGGTATGGGCGGCAGTACTGCCGTCAATACCCGCCCGTTGACGGCCGTCGACAGCCGCAGACGGGTTGGTGAATTTTACCAAGCTTTTTCAGGCTGTTTGAATAGGATTTAGCGGGAGGGAGATACTACTTGGTTCATGGTGAGACCTAGTGCCACCTGAGAACTGATTACAAGGGAACAGGGACCACGTACCATCGGATGCCGAGATGCCGATATTTGAAACTCGCACGACTCCTCGTCCTTTTCTCGGCCTGTCGCGCGGCTACTTCTATTCCAGACCCACTGAGGAATACACATCCCCAGGTTGACTTCTGAGCACTCAATTAGCGACGAAATCACCTTTTATGCCGGTGGGAAATTAATTACCGTCCCGTCCCCGCTTACGGCTAGACTCGTAACCAGTCTGCACTACGGCAAAAGAGAGGGTGAGGTTGTTTGCCGTAGGCAGACTGGTACTACTCGGGCTTGATCAGAGGGCTGCGCCCGGAGTTTGAAAAAATCTCCCCGAAGCTGGATTTTGCTCAATTTATTGGGTCTCTCCAGACTTTTTCAAAAATCGGTAATCTAACACCTTCAAACTTGAGTTCTGTCTCTTTAGAATTTTTTTTTATGGCCTAGAGGCTGAGCTGTGAAAAAGTTAATTTTGGCGGGGAATTGATGGCTCGACACAGCCACCCGATTGGCACCCTCGGCTCCTGCCAAAAATTCAAACTCCGGGCGCAGCCCTTTGGCGTGGCCCGAGTTGTACCAGTCTGCCTACGGCAAACAACCTCATCACCTTCCTTTGCCGTAGCGCAGACTGGTAACGAGTCTAGCTTACGGCCGTCTTTTGTGCCGCCCGTCCCGCCCCAGGGTCCTGAGGTCGGAAAAGACGGCCGTCAACGAGTGTTATATCCGTGCGCCAAGGCTCCGATCAACGTCCATCACACTCCGGCACAACTTGCTCAACTCCGGTTCACTCCGGAGTTCGGAGACTACCGGAACTCCGGAGACCGCCGGAACACCGGAGACTACCGGAATATCGGAGACTAGATCGGCACGACTCCCGTGGTCATAGGACCTCAGTATCAATGGTAACGTTCACTCCACATGCATCTCCTTCTTCCCCAAGCTTCGAAGTTTATACATATCACCTCATGTTGATTATCCGAAGCATTCCTGATTTCATCCAACTTCTCATTCCGCTTTTGGATGTCTTATTGTTTCCTATTGTCTTCTCCACATGTACCTCCACATGCTTCCTCCTTATCTCCTTTACATTATATTAAGACTCTACACTATTTAATCCCGCTAGTTTACTTCTTGTTCTTCAGTAGTTTAATAAACGTCGCTTCCCTCCCTCCGAAGTGGTGTCTGTCGCTCCCCACATCTCCCTGACTCCTCTAGACTCTGTCCTTCTTGTCTCGACGATTCCTGGCAGTATACGCTCACCCTGCGCCTCAGTGGTGTTGTGTCAATCAGCTCCGCCGGTCCTCCTTTCCGACTCCGGCATCTCGGAGACCACTCCGGACCGCCGGTAATCTCGGAGTACCTCCCGCTCGTCCGGCCGACTGTCCCTCTACCCCGCTCCCGCGACACGGCTCATAACAGTATTAAACTACTCACCTGTCCAGGTTTCGTAGTTCTGCACCAACATGTCTACCGACTTCATTCTGCGCTCTTGGCCTTCACCTCGCACCGCTAATCTGGGTTCTGTTGCCTCGTACGTCGTCATGCTGAGCGACTCGTCGGCATCGCCTTCTCCACCGCATGACCCTTCGAAAAAATCTGATGGTTCCGGAGAAACACCGGTGACTTACCGCACTCTCTTTCCTTTTTCGGCCACGACGATCCCTATGGGTCAGTTCACCGTTGGTCCGCCTCAGGACGACATTGCGGTTTATCCGGGTACGCCTACTCCGCCTCTGTCCGCCTCCGATCCCGTTTCGGAGCCGGAATCCTCGGTCGATCCCATTTTCGAGGATGCTGTGGAATACGACGAACAAGGTCTTCCACCGCTCCCCGAACTCGATCGGGAACTCGAACTTCTTTATCCTCCGTCTCCGGTAGTAGCGCCGGCGCAGCCCGTGCTCCCGGAGGACTACGCTCCCAACTTGGAAGAAGAACTCATACCATCGGAACGTCGCTCACCCCGCTCCAACTCTCCCATGTCTGTCCATCATTCTCCGGTCGTCACTCCATCACCTGCCCCCGTTCCGGTCGTATCTCCGACCTCCGAAAGTTCGCAGAATCCCCTCCCGGACATCTTCGATGGTAAGGAAGCGGACGTCATGCCCTTCCTCTCCCAATGCTACGCATTTTTCGCAGCTCACCCCCGTGAGCTCCGATCGGACGACGACAAGGTCACTTTTATCTTGTCGCGGTTCCGGGGAGTCCCTCGGACCATCTATGAACGTCCCAACACAGCCAAACTCGATTGGCATGGAAACCTTTCCGCGTTCATTTCGGAGTTCTTGCAGATTTTCTATACGCCGGACCACCAGGCTGACGCGGAGGATCAGCTTCGTCTTCTCCGGATGAAGCCCTCCGAGGAGATCGCTCCGTTCCTGCGCGAATTCGAGGATTTGCTCACCCGCCTTGGTTGGAGCGAGTCCGCGAAGTGCCACGCTCTCCATCATGCGCTTCCGCTGCGCTTGAGCTTGGAACTGGACGACTGCACTTGCTATCCGAGCACCTACGCCGGACTCCGGGCAATGGTAACTCGTCTCGATAGCAAGTACTGGGCAACGCAGCCGGAGTCCGCACTCGCTGAAGCCCGGAGAAACGCTCGTTTGTTCTGGGGCGACTATGGTCCCAATCCCAACTCTCCGGGCGCCGAGGATTACCACGGTACGCCCTCCGGAAACGATCTTCTGGACCGCGGTACCCCCAGTCCTCGCGCTGCGTCTCCCGCTCTCTCGGACATCTCCCCCGGCATGCCCTCGCTCACTTCCCTTCCTGTTTTCCACATCGCCTCGGACTCCGGATCGCCAATCCCCGCCAATACTCGGGCGGTTAGGATTGGTGAGGCTGGGCCGTCCTCCGGCTACGTTTGGACGGTGGTAGACCCCTCGCGCAAACGAACCGCCGAGGTGGCCGGCTTGCTCAACAACAAAGGCAAGCTCCGGAAGGAAGAAGCAGATCGCCGGAAGAGACTGGGACTTTGTATGTATTGCGGCAGCAGTGATCATCATGTCGAGACGTGCGATCGCATTTCCCGCATCGTCTCCGACAAGCGCCAACGCACCGGAGAAGACCTCTCCGTTGTCGTCGACTAAATAGCATCAGCAGAACACAAATTCTCTTCCCGGAACGTCTGCGTCGTTCCCGGAGAGTTATATCACCAAAGTCCACGCTACCGCTCTTTTGTTCCCCACACCCGCTCGCTCTCCGGAGTTGAGATTCTTACGACCGCTCGCTCTCCGGAGTCGAGTATTAACGATTTCAACAATCATATCTCTCCGAGATTGCCTCGGGATTCAACTCCCGCTACGGACATTTTCCCTCGTCTCTCATACTGGCTGTAACTGTACTTATATGTGAAATTCAGAAGGTTTTGGCTTCGTACACGAGATCTCCGGCAAAATCCCTCCGGAATTTTCCCTTGGCAACACTCATCCATTAATCGGCAGTACATCTGTCATCTATCCCCTTTTGGTGATGTTCGCATCCCGACATCGCGTCATCGTTCTTGATTTCCTCCATCGTTCTGGACCCTGGAACCGGCAAACCTCTCACCCGCATCCGTTGATTGCAAGATGATGGTTTCCAACATATCCGATCCTTAACCCCTGAGGTTATTAGTGTGCACACGACCGGCAATTATGCCGGATATTGTTTTCGGTTGTTCCCACAAGGGACCGGCGTTTAGCGCCGACACCGACAGTTCTGACGCCCTCACCAAAATGAAACCTCCGGAATCCCAATTCCCTCCGGTTTCACCGGCTACTCGCCATCTTCGTTCCTCTGAACGTTCCGGACCTAAAGCTCGACCCTTCGGAGTTACTCCGTTGCCTCGACGCTCGGTCGGTGTCCAATTGGCCACACTCCGCTCCGCTATAGGAAGTCCGGCACCAAGCCCTTCCTGCGAGCACCTCTCCGGAATGGTTTTGCGGTTGCTACGATGCTCCGCACCTCCGCCGGAATCCTTCATGAAGCATATTCGCTTCTCGATCCCTCGGAGAACTCGACACCTTGCTCTCGTTCACCTAGGATCGATCTTCTATGAGACGCCTGCCTTTGGCCGCGTTCTCTCCCCCATCTATCCTTTTTTTTCTCTCCGTGCATCTGCCATGTCGATTGTTGGCCAAATCAATAACCTCGGGAAAAAAGATATTTGGGCAAACGTGGAAACATGTTCACCGGGGACGTCTAATAAACGTACTCCACCGAACCCACTACACCTTCTTCTAAAGCCCTTGATTCACCGTTCCGGTTTTCGACTTTGTGCTCCGGAGTCCTCGCACGGTCAATGTATTGGGTAAGAGCTCACCGGAGAACGTTTAGCGACATTTTCTCCATCGGGCCTCTGTTCTTGACCTTCGTCGCGGTCTCCGGTCCCCTGCGGTCGAATAATCGGTACCGGAAAACCGCTCTAACGACAATCTGGCACTTCTTTGGGTCTTCGAGACTTCGCTCGCAACGCCCTAGTTGCGGCTTTGTCTGGTCGCCCATATCTTCGATTCCGGTCCATCGGAGTCGAACATCCTGGTCGTGTTTCGTTTCCGGCATCTCGGGCCGGCGAAACTCTT